CTTTGCTGGAAAGAATCTGGGTCAAACTGCATTGGGCCTAGTAAGGGAATTTTGTCTACCCTTTCCTCGGATCGAGAATAAAATTATTTTTGAAAGTATCTATAATACTTTTGCGTTTTCTAATGTGAGTTCATGTTCCTTTCTCGGTCATTAATCATTTGTCGCTTTTGGTTTCTTGAAATTTCTTGGGAGAAATAATACATCGAGACACATCTTGCTTTGATTTTCTTGAAATTGTTAGCGTGATTGGTTGAGTGGTAATTGTCTCTCAATTATTGTTGCGAACATCTAGCTAAATTAAGGGTACATTTGTTTCACTGAAAATTTAAGGAAAAAAGTCATCAAAAATCCGAAACTATCCCCACTGTGATACATTTACCCTAAACTTTTTTATGTGATACAAAAATTTCCAAACTTGTACCTATATGACACATTTACCTCCAGTCAATGAGCAACGTTAAAAATTTGCCTACATAGATGCCGAAAGCAAACGAGTTGACATGGCGCTCACGTGGCTTAAGTGAAATAAATACAATGCTGTTTTGACTGAAAAATCATTTGACGAACCTTGATGGGGGGTAAATTGTCATACTGGTATAAGTTTGGGGTTTTTTATTTCGCAGGAAAAAAATTTAGGGTAAATGTGTCAAAGTGGGCATACTTTGGCGTTTTTTATTTCACAAAAAAAAGTTCAGGCTAAATGTGTCACAATAAACATAATTTCGGGGTTTTGATGGTTTTTCACGGGGGAACTTTCTTGCTTGCTACCCGCGTTGCTTCGCTGCAATTTCATACGCAGGAAGAAGAACACATGGATTGACCCGACGGCCTGGAGGCAAGCGAGCAGGACCGCAGGAGACTTTTCTTACGTTATTTTATATTTTCTTACTTGGATTTTTTTTTTTTTGCTTTGGTGGAGTTTATACTCAAATTGTCATGCTGTGTCATCGCTCGTGTACGAACGATGGATCAGCTCGATCACCTGTTCTTTTTCATTTCTTTTCTTTTCCGGACATTAGATATATAAGTATGGTATTTCTATCAAACCACCCTTTTTCACCTACCCTATTAGCTGAAAGCCTCGCAGTGTTCTGATTATATTGCTCTTTCTATGTCTTACCTTTTTAGCATTTGAAGGTCGTGCCCCTTTTCTTTTATATATCAGTTTTCTTTTTTCTTTTCTTGCGTGTCCCGCATCAACTTTCCTTCATCTTCTTCTCTCTCCGTTGTCTCTCTTGCAACCACTCGAGCAATAAAGTGATAGAGAAATGGAGACTTCCACACAACATGAAGATCCAACTGAGGATGAGCATGCACTGAAAATCGATCAGTTATGGCACTTAACTTCTAAAAAACATTCACTTTGAGTGCTATAACTTTCAATCAATCAGTTACGTACCAAAAATTTTTAAAAAACGTTCACCAGAGTGCTGAAAATCCGACGTGACATAGCACTTGTGGTGAACATTTTAAAAAAGTTATGATACTCAAGTGGTCGATTGAAAAGTTATATGGCACTCAAGTGATTGGGAAAAAGTTATGGCACTCAAGTGATCGGAAAAAAGTTATGGCCCTCAAGGGAGCGCTATATATAAATTATGGAATTCCAGTGATTGAAAAAAAAGTTACGGCCCTCAAGTGAGCGTCGTACGAAAATTATGACACTTGTGATGTTCTTTTCCCGAAATCCTAGCAATTATGATCTGGGGATTTTGCAAGGTACTCACTTCTAAAACACCTTCGATGCTATAACCTGATCTCGATATTTATAATGATGAGAAAGCGTACCTTACATGAATAAGTCCCGAGCTCATGGATGCCGATGGTGCAAATTGTCTTCAGTCTTTAAATCACTCGCCTTGGTAATGACTGTATTTTCATGTTTTGAATATTGAAATTCACTTTGCTTTTATTTTTTGATAAGTATCGTGCCTTTTTTTAGCACAATTGAAGTAGGTAGAAATTCCTTGTGTAGATTCTTCAGGAACCCCTCGCGCACGTCCGGTCCTCGGAAGTTCACAAACACATCGTGCTTCGACCGTTCCTTTGAATCCATTCCGGAATCGACAATGAAACTTGGAAATTCTCTCAGCTCAAGTATTGGGCGGAATTTGGGTAGTTCATGAAAGAACTTTCTTGCTTGCTACCCGTGTTGCTTCGCTGCAATTTCATACGCGAGAAGAAGAGCACATGGATTGACCCGGCGGCCTGGAGGCGAGCGGGCAGGACCGCATGAGACTTTTCTTACGTTATTTTATATTTTCTTACTTGTTTTTTTTTTTTTTTGCTTTGGTGGAGTTTATACTCAAATAGTCATGCTGTGTCATCGCTCATGTACGAATGATGGATAAGCTCGACCACCTGTTCTTTTTCATTTCTTTTTTTTTTCCGGCTATTAGATATGTACGTCTCAACAATCTCCCTCTCACATGTGAACTCAATGATAGATCTACTCCTTTTTAATTTAAGTATCCGTCTACACTAACATGTCTCTACTTAAATGTCGAATGCCCACCTTCATCCCTAATCTCTTTCTCCAGAGCTTACCACAAAAGCTATCATCGGGGCTTTGATACGACGCCACAACGTCCACCTTCACTCCATGTCTCTTCCGCCCGACCGAACCGCAAAAGCTGCTTTGAAGCGTGTTGGTTAGATTACTTCCTTAATACATTCACCAAGCATTAATGCACATTAGGAGTGGGCCTCCAATTAACCATCGGCTCTAATACCAGTTGTTGGGAGCGAGCAATAGATTTTCCACTTCTCAAAAGGTTCGACAGCATTCAAACGTGCCAGTCCATGATCCACAAGAAATTCTTAGCCGGGATTGATGGTTCACAATTATAGCTGTAAATCTGAAGCTGAACTAAGTGAGGATTAAAATGTGTGCGTACTCATAATTTCTCTCGTGTCTCTCAAGAAACGCCATATGAAAGATTATTATATGAGCCAATTTATATTAAATCAATTCCATGATTTGAGGACGGAATGAGATTCTGTAGATGATGATGTCAGCCGCAGCAAGGCCTCTAATTGTAACTAGTCATGGGAAGATCATAGGTTCTTCAACTTAACGCGACGATACGAGCCAACGTCAGCCAAATAACACCCAAAGCTCGTCTATCCAACAATTCCCAATCAGCTTGCTTCATTATCTCTGGCTTCTCTCCAGACAGGGGCAAGTGCAGTTTCCTCTGATAAGATAATCCTCAATTTGCATCTTCCAGAAACTAAAGTCATTCCCATCAAATCTATCTATTTTCATTTTTCCTTCTTCTGTCGCCATCGATTCACTTCAACTCAGCCAAGCCTAGCTCTGATATCAATTGTTGCGAAAGCAAGCGATCGAATAATAAAATAAACAAAACGATCAATTAAATCGGACACTAGATTTACGTGGTTCAGTCATAGTGACCTACGTCCACGGGAAGAGTAGCACGAAATTTTACTATAAATTAAGCGATACAATTGAGATTACAACCACATTCAAGTCACTCAAATACTCTTTGTGTTTTTCAAATTTTAATTACACCCAATAACACACAAAGTATTTAGTCCACAATTTCTCACGAAATAATCTCTCAATTTCACGAAAGAATTATACATAAGTTCTTATCACAAGAATTTAATTGACTTTAACACTTGTGTCTTGGAGGTACCTTGTCGAAGAAGCTCTGCCTTGGATTAAGCACCGAGAATATTTGTTCACGGCCGCGCTTCATCCCATCAACATCAGGAGCGTCCACTAACCCATATTCTCATATAACCACCAATCTGACTTGAACAGGGAAACTTGAAATCAGCTCCAACTCGTAGAAGGAAACTCACGTCTCTTGCTTTGCTGGATATTATCCGGAATCTCTTTTACTTTTATTCAAAAGTCATCAGATAAGCTTTCCTATTATATTTTCCATGGACGATCCCACCGGAATATTTTCGTATCCGAAAGTTACCGAACTTGAAGTTCGAAACTTGCTCGATGAACATCTAAAAATTAATTCCATGCTTCCCTTCGTCTCGGGTCGGATTTCGTCTGCCAATTTAAATTCGAGACATAATTTAATATTTATCGCGAGCCAACTTGCCTTCTGCCAACTTTCCAACCGGTTGGCTGCCAAGTTTGACTTTTCGTCTAGGCAAGTTGCGGCTTGCAGAGGAGAGGAGACAAATCTAGAGAAGAGAGAGGGTGTGGCGGTGCCTCTGCTTTTCCTAATCTTTAAGCATTTGATTTCGACCTTTGATTGATGACTTGTAGCGGTTAGAGCGAGAGTAATTGCCTGGAAAATGCCGAGAATTGATTTTTGTTGACTGGGTCCACCTTATGTGGAGGCCCAGCTTGCATAAAGAAAAGAAAAGAAACAAAAGTCAAAATAGAAAAAGAAGAACAAAAAGAGAAGGGGGCAGGTTCGTGCGGAAGAAGAAAGCCAACAGAGGAGAGAGAGAGAGAAAGGCAGAGACCGAGAGTGCAAGGGAGAAAGAGGAAGAAAAGGGCGCATCTTCGCGGTCCGATTTCGAAGGCTAAATATTATCGGAATTGGCTTAAATTTTAGTATGTTGTTCGTGAGACCGAGGGCTACGAGTCGATCGGTTTCGTTCGTTGAGAATCTCCTCCGAACTCTTCAATCGCGGTTAGGGTTTCTCTCCTCATTTTATGTAAATTCACTTTCGCGGTGATAAAAATGATGTTGTAATATTGATGTTGTGCCTCTAGTGTGTGACCAAAGAAGAATTTCGTGTATCCTACTATTCTCGGTGATTAGTGAAAGTGTTTGGGGCGGTCCGTGATTTTTCCCGATTTGGGTTTTCACGTTAAATATTGGTGTCGATTGTTGCATTTGTTTCCTTATAATTGCGAGCTTATATTGCTGGAATATAGTGGATTGTTGTTGGAATTAAGTCGATTTCGGTCGGTTCAGTTTAGGGGGAGATATTGATCCTAGATTGGTTGATTTCTTGGCTAATTGTTGCTCGCAGTTCTCCCCAACAATTTTATAGACGGGACAGCCAGAGTCAAGGGCGCGCTTTTAATCTCTCTTCCTTTTTGCAACTTGCTGATCGCCCTTAAAAAGGTTAACTAGAACAACCACGCTCGAGATACGAAGATTTCCAGTGTCCGAATGGCTACTTCGGAGGAACGACAATTCGAGTACGACGTATTTTTGAGCTATAACCGATGCGAACGTGATGCCCGCAGCTTCTTCCCGCAGCACCTGCACGACGCCTTGAATCAGAGAGGCATCAAATCCTACAAATATAGCGAAGATCTCGAAAAGGGCGAAGAAATAGCCCCCGAGGTCGATGAGGCCATAGAAAATTCTCGAATTGCCCTCGTGATCTTGTCAACACACTACGCTTCTTCGGCATCATGTTTGAGCGAGTTGGTAAAAGTCCTAGAGCAGAACAACCTGATTGGGAAAAGGGTGCTGGTTCTGTTTTATGGAGTGAAGCCGAGCTGCGTCCGAAGACAGACAGAGAGCTACCAGGCAGCAATGGAGGAGCACGTGGACCGGTATGGGAGCAGTTCGGATAAGGTGAGGCAGTGGAGAGAAGCTCTTACGGAAGTCGGGGACATGCGCGGGTGGATTCTCGCCGGTAATGGGTACGTTTGATCCATGCGTTCTTCTGTTTTTTTGCGGTAAATTTAATTAATTAAGAAATAGAGGGGTTACGATAAGAGTCCCGTGCAGCTTTACCTTTCAATAGGAAAAGGGAGAAAGTTAATCCCCAGAGTGAAGTCAGAAAATCAACGCACCTTGAATGCGTAAAATCGTTAATATTTGTACGAGTAATTTCTTGGGATGCGTGAAAACATTAGCACTCCGGTCGTATTTCCTCGAAGAATCACAAGAGTTTGTAGTTCCGATAAGGTTAAAAGCGACGCCACCCTCGTTAACATCACGACCATATTTTGAGTTATTGTTGGGTTAGAACTTTAATGCTACATATGATGTGTAAAGGAATAAGATGTGTGATTTGGGTTTTGAACAGAGACGAAGCAGAGTTTATTCAAGGAGTTGTTCTGGATATTGAAACAATGCTACGGCAACTGAAAGCGCCGACCGCCCCGGAAGCGAGTCCTAAGCACTCAAATTGGGCCGTAGTCATTGGGATTTTGACGGTGGGTGCACTACTGATTTGCTCCCCTTCTCTTATTCTTCTGACGTCCGGACATGCTGGCTCCTTCCCCACTGGTGTAGTGATTGTTTTTGTCTCTGCCAATGTTTTCATGTACCTCTTATTTGCCGCTCGAATTCTTTATAGTAAGATGAGACGGAATACTGCCTAAAATCAACGTATCATTCATCTTCATGTCTCTGTTGTAACTTCAAATTTGCCTCGGCTGCATGTTGTTTAAAGATCGTGTAATGCTCCTAATTTATCTTCTATTATGTCCATAAGATTTCTTCTTCATTTGGCTTACAGTTGGTTTTCTTGTCTCTGTGTTCTATATATTATATCTTTATATTTTGCCATCCACAGTTGGGACAACATGGACTTTTTAAATCTCACTCCTCTAATTAGAGGTGGCAAATTGGGTCTAAAACCCATTATTTAACTCATATTTGATGGGCAAGGTCTTAAATGGATTGCCTAAAATTAAAAAAAGAAAAGAAAAGAGAGTTCAAATGAGTCCAAGAAATAAATGTTTAACTCCATATGGGCCAATATGGGTTGGGAATGTTACCTTTTTTATTATTAGTTGATGTAGGAATTTCTGGATGTAACGATTTGCTACTCCTTAATTCAGGTATCTTTCTACACCAACAATACTCATGTTGAATCTCCAACCGCAACATCCATCCCAAGTCTCTTTCTCTAGAGTGAATCATAAAGACTGCCATTGGGATTGCATTGCTACACCACAACGGCCACCCTCACTCCAGACAAAACACCAATACACATTGAAAGTGGGCCACTAATTAACCATCGGCTCTGATACCATTTATTGGGAGTGGGTAATAGAAGCTCGATACATTTATCTAGAGAAATTGCCAAGAGGGAACCCAAGTTTGAGCCCGTTAATATACCGAGTTGGACCACCTTCACTCAAAAGGTTAAGGGTGCGCATGGAATCCATTCTGCTCTAGAAATCAAATTCTTGCCAGAAATTGATTTTTGGAGGAGAAATCTATTTGATAAAAACAAGACTAATTCTGCTCAAGAAATTGATTTCTGGAAAATCTGTTTGATGAAATAGAAGGAAATTTCCGCTTTTGGAGGTGCCCAAAAATTTAAATTTCACTTAAAGTGGGTAGTTACAGGTATTTTAAGCCATTTTGTGAAGTTTTAAAATTTTTTATTTTTGATTTTTTTTGGGCACCACAAAAAATTTAAATTTCACTTAAAGTGGGTGGCCACGGGTATTATAAGTCATTCTGTGAAGTTTTAAAATTTTTTATTTTTTATTTTTTCTGGTCCCACAAAAAATTTAAATTTCACTCAAAGTGGGTAAACACGGGTATTCTAAACCATTCTGTAAAGTTTTGAAGTTTTTTATCTTTTGATTTTTTTTGGGGCACCTCAAAAAATTTAAATTTCACTCAAAGTGGGTGGCCACAGGTATTCCACGCCATTCTGTGAAATTTTGAAATTTTTTATATTTAAATTTTTTTTGGGCATCTCAAAAAATTTAAATTTCAGTCAAAGTGGGTGGCCATAGGTATTCTAAGCCATTCTGTGAAGTTTTGAAATTTTTGATTCTTTGATTTTTTTTGGGCACCTAAAAAAATTTAAATTTCACTTAAAGTGGGTGGCCACAGATATTCTAAACCATTATATAAAAATTTTTATTTTTTATTTTTTATTTTTATTGGCACCTAAAAAAATTTAAATTTCACTCAAAGTGGGTGGCCACAGGTATTCTAAGTCATTCTGTAAAATTTTGAAATTTTTTATAGCACCTAAAAAAATTTAAATTTCACTCAAAGTGGGTGGCCATAGGTATTCTAAGCCATTCTGTGAAATTTTGAAATTTTTGATTTTTTGATTTTTTTTGGGCACCTCAAAAAATTTAAATTTCACTCAAAGTGGATGGCCACAGGTATTCTAAGCCATTCTATAAAATTTTTTATTTTTTATTTTTTAATTTTTTTGGGCACCTAAAAAAATTTAAATTTCACTCAAAGTGGGCGGCCACAGGTATTCTAAGCCATTCTGTGAAATTTTGAAATTTTTGATTTTTTGAAATTTTTGATTTCTTATAAAAAAAAAAAAGGAAATTTGGGCTAGAATGCATTCTGGAAGTGAGAAGCTACAAAAAGTAGCTTCTCTTTTTTGGGCCAAAACTCATTCTGGAAGCAAAAATTTATTCCGGAGCCAAAAAAAGAATGAAGTTTTACCAAACGCGTTTTTATTCCAAAATGCAAAAATTGCTCCAGAATGCATTCCGAAAATTTTTTAACAAACGCATTTCTGTTCCGGAATGCCTTCTGAAGCAGAATTTCTGCTCCAGAATGGATTTCATGCGCTCCCTAATCCAATGAGTTATGGATCAATTAAATATATTAATTACTCAACAACACATCAATTCTTCGATATGTGACTTTTTCTAACACAACTCACACGATCATCTCAATAATCTCCCTCTCACATGTGAACTCAATGTTAGATATACTCCATTTTAATTTAAGTATCCTTCTACACCAACATGTCTTTACTTGAATGTCGAATGCCCACCTTCATCCCTAATCTCTTTCTCCAGAGCTTACCACAAAGGTTGTCATCGAGGCTTCGTTGCTACACCACAACGTCCGCCTTCACTCCATGTATTTTCCGTTAGACCGAACCATAAAAGCTGCTTTGAAGCGTGTTGGTTAGATTACTTCCTTGATACATTCACCAAACATTAATGCACATTGGGAGTGGGCCTCCAATTAACCATCGGCTCTAATACCAATTGTTGAGAGCGAGCAATAGATTTTCCACTCCTCAAAAGGTTCGACAGCATTCAAACGTGCCAGTCCATGATCCACAAGAAATTGTTAGCCGGGATTGAGGGTTCACAATTATAGCTGCGAATCTGAAGCTGAACTAAATAAGGATTAAAATGTGTGCGTGCTCATAATTTCTCTCGTGTCTCTCAAGAAACGCCATATGAAAGATTATTATATGATGCAATTTATATTAAATTAATCCCGTGATCTGAGGACGGAATGAGATTCTGTAGATGATGATGTCAGCCGCAGCAAGGCCTCTACTTGTAACTAGTCATGGGAAGATCATAAGTTCTTCAACTTGATTAGTGAAGTTTGACATTACTATTCATTATAATTATACCTCGACTTTGAGCCAGCAAATAGAGAGCCCGACCCAGATCAAAATGGATCGCGTAAACACACAAAGTTCAAAAGCAAGTCCAGTGTCCGAACTTTTACATGGAAATCTGTGTTTTACTCTTCTATAAGTGTCCTTTTTCGTGGTGAGTACCTTGGTGTGTGCAGAGTTCGGTCGTGAACAAAAGAGTCCAAGTTTGTGCCATAGGTCTTCTCGTAAATTACATCCTAGTGAAGATTCACAAGTGTGTAGAAGCTGAAAAAAATCTGGTGATAAGATATGTATACTCCTTTATGGGATCGAGAGATTGTTTCACAATAAATTATCAGAGCTAAATACTATATGAGTTATTGGGTATAATTGGGCCGAGAACATATTAAGAGTATTTATGTGACTCAAGTATAAATATAATCTTTGTCATCTTGCTTAATTTATAGTAGAATCATACGCTACTCTCACCTTGGAATAGGTCAAACCTATTGAATCACGAAAATCTAGTGTTTAATTTATGTCATTGTTTTTGTCTATTATTGTATTTGATTACTTGTTTTATGCAATAACTAGTATCGAAGCTCTTGACTAGGTTGAAGCAAATCAATGGTGACACAAGAAGGAAATGTGTAAATTGATGAATGGAACGGATTTCAGTTTCTAGAATATGCGGATTGAGGATTACCAGTATCAAAGGAATCTACACTTAGCCATGTCTAGGGAGAAGCCAGAGTTGATGAAGTAAGTTAATTGTGATTTGCTAGACAAACAAACATTGGGTGTTATTCAACTGATGTTGGCTCGTAATATTGCAACATTGTGAAAGAGAAAACCACTAGGGGACTGATGAATGCCAGGTCGAACATGCACAAAAAGCTCTCTACAATCAATAAAGTCCAATTGATGCGATGCTTGTTTCACTTTGAGATGGGCGAAAGTGTGTCAGTTATCGAGCATAAAAATGAATTTAATGTAGTCGTTAATCAATTGAATTTGGTTGAGATTGACTTTACTGATGAGGTATGTGCCTTAATTCTATTATTCGCATTGCCTGATAGTTAGAATACTACTATTACTACTTTTAGTAATTATTCTTGGTCCAAAATCTTGACATTTGATGAGGCTCGTAATTGATACTAAGTGAGAACTTCTATAGGAGAGAATTTAGTGAAGGTAAAGGACGAAATGGTACTTGTGTTAGCAAGAGTAGTGCGAACCTCAAAATGCAATCACACTAGGACTGATAGTATCGCCTGTCAAAATTGTGGCAAGAAGGGGCATCTCAAAAGAGATTACCTTAAGCTATCGAATGAAAAGGGTAAGGAAATTTGAGGTAAGTGTGTTGATGATATTGCTGCAATAGTTTACGGTAACTCGAATGGTGTTGTCTTGTCTTTCATAGAGGATTCGTCGTTTCAATGATGGGCTATGGAGTGCTTGTTCCTTCCTAACTACATCAAACATGAATTGGTTTACTACTTATCATTCCACAAATAGTGGTAAAGTGCAATTGTGGAGCAATGCTAAGTGCGGTATTATGGGTGTTGGCGATGTCAAATGAAAATACTCGGCGGTATGGAGGACAATGACCGGTGTGAGAAATAATTTTGAATTAAAGAAAAACCTAATTTCCTAAAGGTGGTCGAATGATAATGAGCGGAATCAAGTATAGTGGCATGTACAAGCTTCAAAGAAAGACAATGACGGATATCGCTACGGAGGTGTTAGATGCATCTAATTGAGAGTTTGAATTGAGACATATGCGTTTGGTACATATTGACAAGAGAAACCAAAAAATTCTTAGTGAAAGCAATCTACTGAATGGTTAAGTGGCTGAGGAACTACATGTATGTAGGTTTTGTGACTTAAGCAAACAGTTGAAAGTGGAGTTCTCTACAATGTCAAAGCAACCACAGAGATTGCAAAGTTGATTCACTTTGCTATTAGCGAACTGTCGTGGTTTCCTTTGAGGAAGAGTGTCGGATTTATGCCGATAGTGGTGGATGACTATTCAAGGAGGAC